GCTTTGCTGGCACCTGTGAACCACTGGATCCTGGTGAGCATGGCAGCCCCGGGCATGCCTTCTCGAAACTTCGGTCGCAATTGCTTTTGCCTGCGCCTGAAGCAAAATTTATCAAAATCTCAGCCCATCGCGAACTACCTGAACAGATTAAGGCTCAGTTCGAAGACGCGGAAGGGGAGTACATGGCGGCGAGCGGGTTCATGACGCCTGGCTGCGTGTAATTGGGCCCCGGCGTCAAAGGCGTCTCATACCCCATGGAGCAGGCCAGGGCCACCTGCTCATCCTGACCAACACCATCACCACTGACGCCCACAGCCCCAATCAGCTTGCCTTCCTGGTTGTAAAGGGGAAATCCACCTCCAAATGTGGCCACGCCGGCACCCGTCTGGCGGTTGGTACTCTCGATCCCCGGGAGGACCCCGCCGTCATTGGCCAGAAAACCAATTGAGCCGCTGCTAAGGGAGTTCTCGTTGGAGCTGAAGGCCAGCGCCGTGTAAGCCTTTGCACGGGCAATGTCCCGGCTGCCCAAGAAGGCCGAGTCATGTTCTCGGGCGCCAACGTCCCACAAAGCCACAAACTTGTTTGGCGTGGCCCGGGGCATGATCACGATCTGCATCACAACCTTCACCGGCTGACCGTCCACCGTGCGGAGACCTGACATCACCTGATCCACCCCGGCCTTGCAGTTCTGCGTGATCGTATCGATGTCAGCCTGACTAAGCGTGGGGAGGTCGAAGGTCATCCCATAGCCACGCCTCCGCTTGAGCAGATGCTTCAGAACCTTGTGCGGCTGGGAGAAACTCGATTGGAGTAAGGATGCCTGATCGCCAGCATCGCTGCACTGGTCGCACTTCTGGGCCAAAAGCACACCCAGGACGGCCATAAACACGGTGTACACTGTGAAAGCCATGGGCACCAGCTACGAGTTAAGCCTAACAGCCCCGCGGTTCCTTTCAGGATGGCTTGAGACCAAAACTCACCCACGAAGCCATGCAAGGCTGAAGGCTCGGCTGCAATAATACCTTGCCCTAGAATACGATAATCTATTGTCTAGAACATGTTTCTGCCTAAATACGCTGTCGATATTGACAGCAGACATATACCAAGAAAACGTACGGAAGATTGCGGAGGATACCATTGGTATTGACAACCATCTGCACAACTGCACATGGGAGCAAAAGATGAACAACAACGACGACCGATGCTGACGACGACG